CTGTAAAAGGTGATCGACAGATCAAAGAGGATGAGGACTAATGATATAAGGTTCTCTCTGGCTTTGTGGAGCTCATGTGACTGACTATGGGATGGATCTGTTAAGTGATCCAGTTTGCAATCAGACTGTTTGGTGTTCAGAAGAATGTTTCTCTCAAAATACAGAGATTTTAATTTTAAAATGCTATATAGCCTTTTGTAACCATTTTAGATGTTTTTTTTAAATTTAATAATGGACGATGTATCATGGAAAATATTTTCTTTTCTTTAAAAAGATGATAATAATCTGCCAACAACGTATATCATGAAAAAAAAAAAAATCTTGAAAGTGATGCATGATGTGTTTTCAAATGAAACCCATTATATGAAGACAGATCTGCCAGAAAAAAAAAGTAAACAGTACAGAGAAAATATACTTCACTAAAAGCTTTACTATATTAAACTACACAGATTCAACTATGCTGGTAAAAATCTGAGTACTGTAATTCAGTAAAAGCTTAACGCAGCACCTCCCGACACTAAGAACAACCAAACATGACTGTTCCCCTTTAAGTACAGGTACACAGCACTACTAATTAAGCAATATCAAACGGCAGTGCCAGCAAAGCGTGTTACAATAATGAAAGGAGTAAAGTGGGCCTGCAGTTTGTTGCATTAAGGGAAGACCTACTGTGTAGCAACTTAACTGGATGTTTGGGGGGGCCGGGGCTCAAGAGAAAAAGGACTAAATCAATCTGAATAAAATTTAATTTACAGCATATTGCAACCAAAGAGCAAGTTTGATTATGTTTCAGAGGGAATTATAGTATGTAAATACAGTACTAAGTACAGTATACAAATACAGTATTAAGAGTGTTACTGATACAGAGTCTGGCTTAAATCCCAATTATTTGCCAATAACAAAAACTTCTTTATCAAGTTAATAACCACTTCCTGCTGTTTCACTGGCTGCTGTTAAAAATGACCACATTATGCAAAGTGATCTTTTACAGAGAGTACTAGCGTCAGGTAAGAGTTACTGAAGTGAAAGCTAGAAGGGCTCAGCATTGCATCAGAGAGGGCGCTCAAGTGGAGTAAAGCTTGTGGAGAAAGAGATCTATTCCTGGGGCGACGCTGAGCTGAGTCTCACTGAAACAGATCTGGAGGGATGTCCACTTATTATTATTATTATTATTATTATTATTTATTATTTTTTTTTTATTATTATTATTATTATACATACAGACCAATAGGGCACTTTTACACTCTGAGGCCAAAGGGACAGGGGTTCAACCTCCCTCTGGGGTCTATCTCTGCATGTGCCTGGCTACAGAAAATCAGCTCTAAATTCATTGGCTAACCTTGATCAACAGATAAGCAAATGAAAGAATTATAAAAAATATTTATAAAATGCTCATTTCACAGCAGGACCAAGACACTGTGGGGCTGAAATATGCCGCTTTGCACTTCTCTGAGAGGAACACTAAAAAAGGGAAGAAGAAGAAGAAGAAGAAGAAGAAGAGAGGACGGCCTCAAGACAGTGTCTATTCTGAAGTGAGAAGCTTCAGTTAGATATAAATGTACATACATTATGACTCTGAACAGACTCCTGTTCTGTTTACCGGACTATATTTGGTCAGATGGGCTTAACTCTTAAACTCCCAGGCTTCTTACAAACTAATGCTTATTATTATTATAACTACATGGACTATAATGCAAACTGGCAGAGTTATTCCAAAGTGTAGTTAATAGTTTCTAGTAAAGCAATAGAGATGAAACCAGAGGTAACAGTGACTCTTACAGATGCAAATCTAACATCTTAACCTTTAAGATCATGTCAAGTTTTGAACTTCAGTGCTCAGAGCCAGATGAGTCAAAACTCATAAACCAGCTTCTTCTTAAAAGAGGAATAAATGAGTTTAAAAATGGTCGTGTTTACCATTGTCTCTTAAAACAAGACTTTCTTTTTGTTCTATTACATTTTGTCTTTATTTGCCAAATGTTGTTCTGTGAGCTGTAAGCTGTGCAAACACACAAATAAAGTAAACATGTGAATCCAGGCTTTAAAGTAGTGTTCACTGACTGTTTCAGAATATCTCAGTCATGATGCATGTAAATGTTGGGCACGTTGTGGGCGGAGTTTGCTCCTGTCCTCACTGAGGCTCCTCCTTCATCACTGTGTGACAATTACCAATGATATCGCCCTCTCTCTCCTTTAGACGTCCCCCACTTCCTTTCTTTCTCGCTTACACAGATTCGTCTGTAGAATGAAAAAAGTTTGTATTTTCTTTGCTGAGTAATTTAGTGAATTCTTTAAGTAAAAAATTCTGAAAAATAGCAGTCAGTATGTCAACTTTCAACCTTCTAGTTCACATTCTAGTGCACTTATTGGTGATGTTATGGTGCTTAGTGACTTTATGTTTACCTAGAAGAGTTGACTTCAGCTTCAAGTGTTACCAAAGACAGAGGAGAACAATGCTGAGTGGTAAAAGGTCCTATAGGTTCTGATCTTGAGTACCAACAGCCATAAAAATGAAATCTGCAGTACTGCACTGATGGCCAATAAAAAAACAAAGCAAAACACAGAAAAGTGCCAAAAGTTCAAGTGCTTTATGCAATACAAATGCACCTACTGTTCAAGGGTTTTTCTTCATGTCACATATCTTTTTTTTCAAAATCTGAAACATAATGAGCAACATTGCAACCTGAGCTCAGTGTTCTGGACACCACTGTATATGGTAAATATGTTTGTCTGAGGCACATAATTGTTTTTGGCATATGTGTCCATCATGATGAGTAATATTTGTGTGCTTTATATTTGTGGCTGTCATTTACATTGTTTTCATCATAGCTTACAGTTATGAGAATCGAGAGTGACAGCTACTGTGATGATTTTCCAGACTCATCAAAAAGTAGAACACAGAAGCTGAGAAATCCTGAGGGAAACTGTATTTTATCAATACAGGACTAATAAATCATAACAAAAAATCATAACATTTTGCTAAAGTAACACCACTGCATTCAGAAAAAAATATTCATGTAAACTTAAAATTTACATTGTGGTCACTCTGATACTCGACCAATGAGAGAGAAAAACAGCATCAGAGAATGAAAGAAATCATTTTCATTTTAGTAGAGAAAAATAGTTTGTTAGACAGATATAACTTTAAATTATATACTTTTTTTCTGTTCTCCAGAGCAGCCTCTGTTTTTCAGAACCATGGAGAGAGACATAGCTCAGCACTACAGAGAGATGCACAGTGTAAAGAAAACTGAATGTACAGTGGTATATATATATATATATATATATATATATATATATATATATATGAACATATGAAACTCTGGAGTGAAGACAATGTGTATGATATCAGTGTAACTGTAAGATAATTCAACCAGATAGGGAAGATTAAGCAAAAACTAAACTTAAATTTTAAATGCATTAAAAGAAGTCATAAAAACATTATATTTATATTTTTTACATTACAATTCTGTATTTGGAAAGCTTTATAAATGCATTCAAAAGGCATGGAAAGACATAAAAATGTATAATACCTGGCATAAACTTGTATAGTTGTTCTTAAGCCACATGCATAACAATAAAGCTAGGTCTGTAAAAACTGTTGTGATGGATCTGGGTAGTTTACAGAAAATATAACCTAACCTTGTTATTGTACATTACAACATTTGTGTTTATAATGTTCTTATAAGCAGATATTATAATATTATAATGTTTTATGAAACCTGACATGATAACATCATATTGTATTGTTTTATAAAGTGTTATGCATGCAATTTTAATTATTTATAAGCAATTAAATAGGCTTATGCCAGGCATGATAAGCTATTATGCATGCTATTTAATGCCTTATAAAGACATTCAAAAATTATTATGAATACAGGATCAATAGCAAGCGTTACCAAAAAAGCACCTAAGAGATCTATCTCAAGATCGGTCACTAAACATGTTCAAGAGTTTGTCAGGAGATTTGCTATTAATACAAATTGTATTGTATCTTGAGCCTCTAAGCTTATGATTTCTAAGCACATAACAACCCAGCATCAGGTTAATATTACTAACTACCCTTATTACTTTAGAGATGAATGACACACATGTTAATCACTACAGGATAAAGATTTGGACTTTTTTTCTAGAACATCTTAATAGCTGTTGTTCCTGCTTTTAACCACCAGGTGTCATTAATATAGACCACTCATTAAAGCTTTGAGAAAACCTTTTCCATTACAGTTTAAATAAAAGCCTCACTGATTCAGAAACTTTTGTTTTGCCATCACTAGTTTCTGTCTGCAGCCTAAAAAGTCAACAAAGTCAACCTGAACCAAACTCAAGAGCACCTAATACACTGTTAGAAATAAAGATACTGGCACTGGTACATTTTTCATTCATCAAGGTACAAACAATTTAAATGTGCCCTCAAAGGTACAACGGTGGTTTTAAGGTCCAATTGTGTACCTTAAATAAGTTTTCTCTCAGTGGAAAAGTATGAATTTGTACCTTTTAAAACTTAATATTTTTAAACAGAACAATGAAATAAAAGCCTGGAGACGAGACGGGGTGTGAGGAGTTAGTTCAAATTAGGAAATAAAATGGATTATGGTATTATATGTTCCCTGACTAAATGAGGGTACCACTCAAGTGACAAGAGGGGGACTGCCCCAGTGACAGTTTAGCACCTCTTTTTCTGAGAGTGTATAGATTAATGAGAGCCTCCAGCTCACATCAGCATGAACTCAAGACAGAGCACTGAATGGTGGGACTGTTTTCCTTAAGTAAGTGATGCTGGTTGCTCTGATAATTAATGAGAATCTGGTGGCTGTAGCTGGTCTCATAGATTTATGAAGTATGCTTTACATTATGATTTATAGTGTGGGTTATACCCCTAAGCAGAAATATAAGAAGAAATTAAAGAAATATATATTTACAAAAACAAGCAAAAATAGTTAATTGATAAGTTTTACATCTGATTTTTTTATTTGCACATTGTACATATTGAACATTCATTCAAATAAAAAAAAAGTATAACAATATCAATAGAACACTGAGAGTCTACATGACTATATTAACTCAGTAAGACGTCTTTCCTGTTGTGTAATACAGCTTTACTGAACTGCTCTGTAGTCAGAAACAGGGAAGAATCTCACTCGGGTAAAAACTTTCTCCTTTAGCGCTCTTCTCTTCATCTTCTCAGAGAAACATAATGCAGTGAAATCAAACTCCTCATCGTCAGAGTCCTGTTTCAGAAACAGAAGATCAGTGCTGAAATGGACAACAAGCATTGTAATCTGGATAAACACCTTATAAGTGTATTGAAGAATCCTTTTCAGAGCTTTTTAGAGTCAAAACACAAAGAAGAAAAAGTACTGATTATTTAGAAGATGTAATTTCGATGTGATTACAGTAAGAGACGGCTAAATGATTTAAAAGAAAAAAAGTACTAGAGTACTTAAACTGAATGTGTAAGATGTGGAATTTCTGAACTGATGAATCTAAATTCATTATTGAGATTGTTAAAGCAGAAAATGCATCAAATTTCCAAGACTAAATTTTGAAGGTATAGAAAAAAAAAGTGCAGATGGTATTTTTGAAAACAATGAGCAAGAAATGGAATTGAAAGCATCCCAAAAATAGAAGCTGTAATAAAAACTAAATATTAAATAATAAAGCACAGTGATTTTACTGAGATTAATAATTCACTCATCATATTGATTTATCAGTCTACTCAGGCTTTAGCAGAGCTCAGTAACACTGAGATTAATAACTGATCACATTGATTTATCAGTCTACTCAGGCTTTAGCATAACTCAGTAACACTGAAATTAATACTGACTCATCACATTGATTTATCAGTCTACTCATGCTTTAGCAGAGCTCAGTGACACTGAGATTAATAACTGATCACATTGATTTGTCAGTCTACTCAGGCTTTAGCCAGAATATCCAGAAACTGTTAAATGAGGTCCTCTTAAAGGTTCATCTAACATGCATGTTTTTTTATGCACAGTGCGCTGATTTAAAAACAAGCATCAATGGTTTCTTTTGATACTCAGTGAAAATGTGTTCTAAATATATGCTCCTAAAAGTGTAAAAAGTGTATTCTGAATACTGCCTTTACAAAATGTAACTTGGACTGAATACAAATACTTCTGTATTCTAAATATGCATTCCCAATACTTGTGTTCCATTACATCCCAACCCTGCACACTGATGAACAAATTTATTCCTCTCCACATTGTAACATCAGTCAGTACATCCATGTATTTCAAAAGGTGGCATCTTGCACTGAAATTCAGAACAGAACATTTTCTACATAGAATATATTACAGAACCACAGCAAAAACATTTGTGTAGACAAAAAGAAAACATGAATAAAAAAAATTAAAACTCACTAGTTACCTTTTTACAGTGATTGGTGAGTTTAAAATTAACCACCTTTGTACACCTGATGTCCATGTTTGATTAGTTGGTTCACAGGTGTGTTTTTAATTTTGAAAAGCAGTGCCTTGAGATGGCAAAGAAGTGACAACATATTAGATTCCTGTGTCTAATGTAGAGAAGTGCGTTCAGTGGTTTGCAGATCATGGGTTGTAGCATGGTGCTAAAAGTGTGAGGCTCAGAATGAGATTACAGTTGTGCAGAGCTGCACTGAAGTTTTGCTCTTTTAGTATCAGGTTTCACAAACTAGTATGTATATTAGCAATGATTAAAAATATAAGGCAAATTTCTTAGTTTTGCCTCATCAATTACAACAATGCTTGTAGAATGCTGTTTGTATTCTGTAGTTACAGTTTAATAACAGTATAATTACAGCATAACAGTGAATAATGTATCATGAATCTAAGGGATGATAGTGATAACCAATGAATACCTGAAGAATATATTTTCTTTAGTATTAATAGCAATTATGTATTTGTAACTGGCATCAGTTTTCTCTTATTAGGCAATAAAAGAGATAATCGACTGTAAGTGTAGATTTAACTGTGCTCCATACATATTTAAATATTTTTAAGAGAAATAAGAGGATAATATGATTGATTTTAAAGTGTATGGCAGTCTGCAACAGAAGGAGCACTTGTTTATTTTATTTAGGCTTCTCCACATCCAAATGCAATGTTTTACAAGTTATTTATTCTTTTCCATTATTTTTTTGTCTGTATTTTCTTACTCCAATTGGGATTTTTCTTTACACATTCTTTAAGGAAATATCAATGTCTAATAGCATTTTTATATAGCTACAAAATCTTTAAGCATTTTGCACAAAAATATTAGAAAGCATTGGTTGATAAATGACATAGAAAAAGTCATTCAGTAATATTTTTATCAGTCTTGTCCACAACTCTGTAAAACTGCCACAATTCAGTCAATAAACAAGTACAGTCATTACTTTCATGCACAACAGAATTCAGATCATAGACAGATTTTGGAAATATTTGTTCAGTTGGGTAAAAATGAAAAATAAAAGCTGGAAGAGTGAAAATATTTGCATAAAACATTATTAAGAATTGGATTAAATAAATTCACATCCAGACACAGTCAAAGTCATTGTGTAATTTAAAATGGCACAGTTTCAGTACCACAAATACTGACAACTGTCAAAACAAGTTTCAGTTCTCCAAATAGCAGACATTTGAGACATTCATTAAAAAAAAAATACAACATTGTCCCCAAACTTCACTACTGCGCATGAAAGAAAAGAGAGCCTAGCGATGTGAATGATGAGAAGTGGCACTGGAGCTCTCAATTTAGAGGCTCTCCTCTAAATAGTCCCAGATGATTAACATTTTATTAGGATAGTACACTTAGATTCTTTGTAAGTAATTTTTAATATCTATTAAATTCACATTTATTTTTACATTTGGTCCTAAACCCAACTCTAACACTGTTGAATGAAGAATGAAATGAATTTTAATAGATAATAGATCATTTGAACATGACAGCTGCGTGTTACACTGTCTGAAAATTTCATGATGAATAGCCCAATGGAAATGCTAAAAAAAAAGAAAAAAATAACATTAAATTAATAAAGAATAAAATGTAATAAAATGTCAAGTTACTATTTTGGAGGATGATTTTAGTGAATGTTTTTCTCTGGACAGTGGCAATACATACATACATCATCTAAACCGCTTATCCTTCTGGGTCGCGGTGGGTTGCTGGAGCCTATCCCAGCTGTCATTGGGCGGAAGGCAGGATACACCCTGGACAGGTCGCCAGTCCATCGCAGGGCAGACAGATAGACATACATATACAATCACACTCACACACACCTAGGGGCAATTTAGCATTTCCAATTGGCCTGACTGCACGTCTTTGGACCGTGGGAGGAAACCAGAGTACCCGGAGGAAACCCACGCAGACACGGGGAGAACAGACAAACTCCACACAGAAAGGACCCTGGTCGCCCGGCCAGGAATCGAACCCAGGCCCTTCTTGCTGTGAGGCGTCAGCGCTACCCACTGCGCCACCATGCCGCCCCAGTGGCAATACATACATGTATTATACATATATATTTCTTTCACTTGCTAAACCATGTAGCTGTGTTAGAGTGTATATTTATTGTACTAAAATAGGTGTGAAACATTAAACCTGCATTAAATATTTTGAAGATATGAAAAATCAGACACATTGTATTTGCTTAATATCATGGCTCTACAGTTAAGTTATTATGAGAATTAACATAAAATTATCAATTATATCCCATTATAAGATGACATATTATTTATTATTTTACACAATATAAATGGAAATGTTTCACATTTCCATTGATTTCTATATGTTTTTAACATTATGTTGGGAATTCTTTCTGAGAATCCACATGTGTTATTTTACAAAGCATGCAGGCATATAATCAGCAAAAAAGGCCTCTATCTGCATTTGGTTTCTAGGTTGATATAACACAGGCATAGCTATGTAGACTATTTTTCAGAAACATTTAACAAAAACGGTAACTTTATTTGAAGGATGTCTACATAACACATTAATATCACATTACATAAACACATCATAACATATTAATGAATGCTTAAATCAGCATTTGTAAATTGTACATGTTTTACATGATATTAATATGGACTACAATGTCATTTTGCTGAAAGATGTTTTTCCAAAATAAAAGTCTTTATTTTTTTTATTTTGAATAACTTTATTATTATCAGTGAAACTCCTCATTTCTGTACTGCCAGCATAAAAATGACCTGGCTTTATCCTGTTGGATCCATTTGTATTTTGCACTATGCTATTATTTCTCCTTTTTACTCTAGTTCTTCTTTAAAAATGTACTGTTAAGTCAACAGTCTATACATAGTTGTGAAAATGTTATTTAAACTAAGTTTAACTTTCTCTGGGTAAATGCTAACACTGTTATCCCAATTACTTTGGAGGTTTTATTTTTAGTGATGTTCTTCCTCACTTACGGTTTTGGAGAAGGCACAAGTATAACTGTGCATTGGTTATCCTGTGTAACTGACAGTTTGAGGTTAAATGTGACATGCACTAATATCCCAAGGAATGGTTCCTTTTTTTGCATTACTTTAAAATACAATCGAGTGGTGACTCTTTGACTTTTCTCACTGCTGATAATTTTGGTAAGAAATTTTTGGTTAAAATTTCTATGGATGTCACGTTTGTAAGCATCTATAAACACATTTATAACATGTTATAATGCCTTCATACGGCATTATAAACATGATTATAAACATTTATAAAAATGAATTACACTGGATTACACTTTATAGCCATGTTTATTATACATTATGAATTGTTAATATAATGCATTATAAGTAGTGTTAATAACATGTTATACTGTCAGTGCCAAATAAGTCTTTCTAGCTTGGAGACTGAAAAGTAAAGACAAATACTAAGCTAACGGTGGTGTACACTGACTTTCCCACATTGGGTAAAGCACTGATGGCAGCACTAGTTTAAACTCTGACATTTGAAGCTTGTAATGTGTTTTATTATGTATGTTTTAGTGTTTCAGTAAATTCTTCATTAAATACTTCAACTTGAAGCCTCACTCTTAACACTGGAGGAGGCTTTAGTACAGTACGCTTCACTTTACTGAGAGCAGACAAATATGACTTATGAGCTCTAATAATTTATGATCAGTACATAATGTATTTATAATGTTACCAATTCATAATGCATAATAAGCATGGCTATAACGTGTAATGCATTTTTATAAATATGTATAGCTATGTTTATAATGCTTTCTAAATGCACTATAACATTTTATGAATGTGTTTATAGATACTTACAAAGGTGACATTCATAGAAAGTGTTACCAATTTTTTTTGTAATTCCTTTATAAATTTGCCTTGCTTTGCCTTTACCACGAAAGTGATGGAAGGCATGTTATCCTGACTAAAGTGCATGTTACATGCATGAATAGATATTAAATGGAATGGTTAAGCATTATGGACTATTATTTTAAGTTAGAAAAAAATAATTTTGTTAATCTTTGGGCCTTAACTGAATCATGTAGATAACTAGGTGATGTTAACATTAGCTTGATGTATTTTTAATAGCTAGTGTAAGCTAGCATTAGCCTGCTAGCTAGCTAGCTAGTTAGAAAAGTTTCTTGGCTACAGTTACTGATAATAAGCAAAGTAGCTAATTTAACTGCTATACGATCATACCTCTGCTATGACAGTCTATCTAGCCCACTAACATAACATTCATGCACTTTCAGCATAAATAGGCTCATCCTGTACGTGTAGAATTCCACACATTTGACTGCTCCTGTATGGTCTTTTTATAGCCAGAAGAGGACAGACAACCAGCAGCAGTGCCAGTATCATGACATCTTCAGACTCAGATTGATACTGTTATGCATTTTAGCTCTGTTTACAGTTAAATCAGAGCTTCCATCCACTTCTTACTCTCACTGTCACAACCGTGCAGGAAAACTAAAATACAGCTGTTGTAGCTCCGTGTTTGAGTGTTACAGTTCACTACTAAACATTCTGACATCACGTCTGCAGTAGCTATATGGAGAGGAAGTGAGTTTTACCCTGCTAATCCTTAAACCGGAAGTAATCATGAATCTTGTGAAAAGGGCCCATTAATCATTAAAGTTACTTAAAAAAAATAACACCTTTTTCTTGCCTTTTATACGGTATGAACTGCTCTGCGTCTGATTCATAACAATTTTGTACGATGTGGAAACAAAGTGGAGATTTGAGCATAAATGATAAATCAGCTTCAGTGCACGAAACCAGCCTACCAACACCTAATTTACATATCATTTACATGAAGCACACACTAATTCATGCAGATGTTTCAGTAGCCAGCCAATAAAACGGCAGTGTTTGGCATGAAAGCTAATGGCCGTGCTCATGGGTGGAGTTTGATGTCCAGCAGTGAGTGCACTCCTCCCCTGCTGACCAAACTTCATAGTATTAAAATGAAAACAACTGGAAAAAATAAAATGTGAAATAAAACAAAATACTCTCAGTGTTGTTAACATAGTAGAGTGATTGTTTAGTGTAATTAATTCCCTAAAATAAACGCTGTATTATTGCAGTGTATGACAACAAAAGCACAGTGTAATGTGTCTTTAAATGGAACATGAAATAGTTGCAGCACTTGTTTATATCAATGTGCATGTAAAGTAAGTACATCCACTTTTGTACTGGACTGTCATGCACACAAATCAGTATTATTAATATTTTCTATTGTTTTTATTTTTGCAATTACAGATTATGTTGATAATAGTTTTGGTTAATTAGCCACATATCCAGCATTTATGCCCAAATTTACATGCACTCCTACCAGATATGAGTACAGATATGCCAAGATGAACGTGATGAATAACAAAACCGTCCATGAATTTGTGTGCACTCATCTTACGGTCAGATGTGACCATAAGCATCTTTAATGAACCAAAGTGAGAAAAGTGAAGCAACTGAATATACGGAGGTGATGGAAAGTTAATTAACAGATAATTAGTGGGATTAACACATAAGTGCTAGTAAGTTATCACGTTACTTCTTTATATGAAGAAAAATACTTATTAGTTAATTAACAATGTAATAAGCAGCAATTAGCACACAGATAATGAGTAAGTAAGCCACAAACTAACGACAAACTAACTTATCAACTAACAGTGTACTTAATTACTAATTGATAAGTGCTTAATCAATTACTAAGTAATAGCTAATGCTTAATGAAGAGTTAACTAATAACTAAATAATGGGAAACTAATAGTTGATTATTATATATTTAATGATTGATTAGCGACCCTTAATGTAAAGTGTTACCAAAAAAAGTAATGGGGATCAAAGTGTTAGCATTTACCCCAAGAAAGTTAAACTTAGTTTAAATAACATTTTCACAACTATGTATAGACCGTTGAATTAACAGTACATTTTTAAAGAAGAATTAGAGTAAAAAGGAGAATAGCATATTGCAAAATACAAATGCTTGAGAAAAAAAAAAAAATAATAATAAAAACAAGTTGAAAGTCTAGGCAAAAAGTGTCAAAGCACTTTCTGTCCAAAGGGATAAAGCCAGGTCATTTTTATGCTGGCAGTCCAGAAATGAGGAGTTTCACTGAAAATAATAAAGTTTTTCAAAATAAAAAAAATAAAGACTTTTATTTCAAAAAACATCTTTCGGTAAAATGACTTTGTAGTCCATATTAATATCATGTAAAACATGTATAGTTTACAAATGTTGATTTAAGCATTCATGAACATGTTATGAAGTGTTTATGTAAGGTGATATGAATGTGTTATGTAGACACCCTTCAAATAAATTGTTACCCATTTTTTTTTCATCAAAGTACAAACAATATAAATGTACCCTTAACGGTAGAACAGTGGTTTTAAGGTCCAGGTGTGGACTTTAAATAAGTTTTTCACAGGTGAAAAGTATGTATTTGTACCTTTTCATGACCTAATGTTTTAAAACAGAACAGTAAAAATAAAGGTCTGGAGACGAGACGGGATGTGTGGAGTCAATACAATGTGTTCCCTGGCTAAAGGTAATGAGATGTACCCTTAAGGGTACCAACCCAGTGACAATAGGTGTACTGCTCCAGTGACAGTTTACTGTACAGTAAAAAACTAAGCTGCTCTTTAGAATATGGAACACATTTTGATGTATTAGTGATTATTAAACACTTGCTCCAAAAATCGCCTCACTCTGCTTTGAGCCAAAAGGAACAAAATTAAACATTAATATGATGTGAATTTAGGTGATAATTCATGCCCAATAATTTGCATAACAAAGTACAGTTGGTTACAAAGTTTGGGCGCCCCTGGTCGAAATACATGTTTTATTGATTTTCTAAGTTAATTTAAATGAACACATCCTCTACAGAGAACACACACCTGCACCTTTAATGCACCATTACTGTTTATTTGCTTAATTTCAAAACAAAAAATTTATATTAAAATTAAACCTAAAACATAAAATGTTATGCCAAATATATATTTAAATTTTTTGTTTGTTTGTTTGTTTGATTATTTGTTTTTTTCTCAATAGGTTAAAAGAAATTGAACAATGCTTTGTATAATAATTATATAATAATTTGCTCACGGGTCTCCAAACATTTACATAAGACTCTATTATGTGTGATTTTTTTTTTAATTATTACAACTAATAATGCATTTTAGGTCATAATGAACAAAACTTAATGCAGAGTGAATAAACTATTTAGAAGTGTTTAACTGAACAAAGAACAAGAATTTAATAAACCTGACATTTGTATATATTAAAATAAAGTTTTGCCGACAGTTAAAGGCTCTGCTCTGCTGATGATGCTGTGCTCCTCTGAGATCGTGAGCAAAATCATGAATTTATATTGTAAATGGATCTAAAAATGATAATTATATGTACTGTAGGTTGGAATACAGATTATAAAACAAAGACTTTTCTTTATATTGATGTTTTATGTTTCTCTTCTCCTTTTTCTTAACTGATGACTGAATGGAGTTTTCTGTACATTCTATTATGTACATGAACTAAAAAAGAGCTCTACAGAGTAATTTGCATGTTCAGTTTTGAATCAGAAACCAGAAAAAACAGATTTGTCTCTGGTTGAAATTCGAACCACCAAATCTTTAGTGGAAAACGTAGTTTAAAGAATAAGTGCATAAAGAGTACCTGTCTGGTGGTCCTCTCATTCACAGCCCCCTCCTGAACTTTCTCTGTAGAGGAGATAAAACTTCACAATCACTTCCAGATACAGTTTAATGGGGCTAAACGTATTAGTATTATCACCATTTTCTATTTTCTATTTTCTATTTCTATCAAAATGTTCAGCTTCATCTCATAATTAACACTTACCTCCAGCGCAGTGTTTAGATTTCCTCAGTTTGTGAATTAAAATGCAGATTACAGCCACACACACTGCTGAGAAAACTGCCAGAGTCAGCATTACAGGATCTACAGGACCTACAGGACCTACAGGACCTACAGGACCTACAGGATCTACTGGATGTACAGGATCTACAGGAGCTTCTGTAAGACAGGAATTGAAAACATACTGAATACAGGAATACAAAAGTCAAGCCTCAAAATCCATTTGCCATCTAATCTTGTTAAGCTGGACTTTATATCACGTTCATTTTATCACTGTTTAGCAAACTGGTTTTTGTCCAAATAATGAAGAATGCCATTTTTTTTTCCCCAGTGGATAATTAAAAAGGCAATTCAAAGTAGTTTGCTGTGAAATGGTGCATTGTTGAGAAACAATACTGAGTCAGAGTTGTTCATAGTGGTGGTGAAAGGAAACAGAAATCTGAAGCCTTTAATGTCTCTAAAACACCGAAAACATGAATTAGTTTTTGTGTTTTGTTGTTATTTTTGTTTTTATTCATCTATTTATTTGTATTTAAAAATTGTTTTTGACTGAATCCATGTAATGCTACAGAAATATTTGCAGGGTGTTATAAGAAAACATGCACAACCCCCCACCCCACCCAAAAATATATGTTTTTGAATTAAATTCTGCACAGCTATCACAACCCCTGGTTCTTATTATCACCACTGCAAAGAATTCTGAGTCAGCACTTTTCTTTACAATTTTCCATTTTATATCAATCCACTCTGATTGACTTTGTTAACATCTCAAAAACTGTGTTACACTGAAATGTTCTAATTGATGGCAACAGTAAATAAACAGATAAAATATTAACATATATACAAAAGCGACTAGTTGTACAATGCAAAATTTACTCAGTTCTACTGCTGTTCCATTCCCAGTGACCGACTCTCCATGAGAAACTGACCCCTGTACTGGAGTTTGGAGCACTGATATGATTGACTGCCCTGGAAAATGTAATATATACAGTGGTAGAATAACACTGATATATCAGTATGATGTCATTATAATAAAAATAAAACAGTGAAATGGCACTGTGTCCATTATGCATCTAAAGTGTGACAGTGACATCTAATGGGTGTTAAAAACTAAGCATCACTTTTACACTAGAATTGATATTATTAAGGTCAGCAGCAACAACACATTTCAGAATGGCTTCACATAATTGATTTTAAGAAATAAATAGATCTTACATGTTAAAAACACTGAAAACAATTAATTATTGAAATTACCTGTGACAGTTAAGACTGTAGCATTAGAAAAGTTAATTGTTGTCACTCCAACCGCTGCACAGAAGTACATTCCTTCATCTTCTTCAGTGACACGTTCAATACTGAGAGAAGTGCCCTTAGCAATTCTGTTAATTTTAAATCTTGATTGGTCGAAAGAAGCTGAAATCCTTGATTTCTTATCTTTAAACTGTGATCCCACTTCCACTGGAGCATGCCCCCACCTTTGTTTGTACCACATCCTATCTGCATTTGAGTCACCTACAGGTGTGCAGTTGAGAGTGACCGTTTTACCGGGCTCAGCTGAGACGACCAGTTGCTCAGAATTTCTCACAGCTTGAGCAGAATCTGTAAAACAAAGTTCAATCTATTCAACCAAAGTTCAGTCAATAAGAAAAAAAATGATGAAACTGAAAACAAGCGTTATTGACAAGACTAAATATAAAAAGAATTTATGTGGGTAACTTTATGAAACTTACATATCTTGTAGAGAAGTAAGATGATAATCACAGCTGGATCCATCATCAGAAAAACAACAGCTGTAACTTAAAACTTGAAGGCAAATATGAAGGCAAGAGTGTAACTGAGTAAAGCTTCAAACTGTATGAGCTTGCTGGAGTCTTATACTGAACCCCATTGGATGGTAAAAGTCACAAGGTCCTTTCTGTCTGCTTGACTTGATCTGTTTGGCCACAACAATGTTGTGCTCCATCTATTGGCTATTGGCTCCATCTATGTGAGTATTATTAGCAATAATTTTGGTTTCTGATAAACATTCTGTGATCTTACTAACTGAAAGATTAATAGCCTCTGTAGAAAAACAGGCGAATGTAAGAAAGACACTATCATCTAATCACTAACATTTATTTTGGTTCTGTTGGAGAAATTCAATTGCCTGAATATATGAGATATTAACATTAACAGAACATCACCAGTTATCATTTTATGAATGATAAATCCAGGCTGACCATGTAAAGAGTCCAGTACCATATTGAGTCAAATTTAGTGTTGAAATAATAATCTTGAATTGTATAAATTTACAGTCTGATTTTTAATGAAAATGAATAAAGATATGCTGTGTAGGAAATAATTATCATGTTTGGTGATATTCACCAACAATAATTAAGCAGAAATATGTTAAAAAGTATAAATTAAATCTTTTAAGTAGACATCTACTTTTCATTTCAGATTATTTTATTGCAATTATTTTAAAGACACATTTCAAATGTTTACACTTCATACACGTCATTGCATGTATAGTATATAAACATGGCGTCAATATGTGGAAGCACAGCACGTTATAAAAAACAATTACATGCATATATATATATATATATATATATATATATATATATATATATATATATATAACGCTGCTGTCAGAAAAAAACCTTGTATCATTTTGTCATTTTTGGGTTTTTGACATAATTTTCAAATGCCTATTGCCCTTTACATTATGTGTAAGTTTCATGATGAATGGATCGAAAGGAATGGTCCAAAAAATGACTTGGAAAATAGTCTGGTTCCATTGATTTACATTGAAAGTAAAGTATGTTTTTACCTTCTACTGTAAAGTTACCATTTTAGAGATACAAGGTTTTTTTCCAACAACAGTGATACACAGATTTTAAACTGGTGTACTTTGAATATAATAAGCTACAGTTTAAAGCATCAGCAACAATCTCTAAAGGCCTGAAAAGCGATATGGAAATTCTCACAACTATCTGAAACACGTCTTCTACATTTCCATCAACACAATATCAGACACCATCTGAGCTCATAAGCACGTTTGCCACACGTGAGACGTGTGACTAACCACACAGTCTAAAACTGTTCTCGCTCGGCTCCTTCAGAGAACTGACGCTTCATACCAAACTGGACTGTTTTTTTCAGTCATGCAGTTTTGAGCACAGAGCAAAGTGAAGCACATGATTGTAGATCCTGACTGAAATCAGCACAAACACAAATAAACAGATACAGATTACAAAGCTGACAGTAACAGAAAATATCCACAAACTTCACTTCTACTGCTACAAGAGAAGAGAGTGCAGTGAGTCAGTGATTGTTGGGGTCAGTAACTGAGAAATCTTTTACTTCAGAGTAAACACTGTCTCCAGAGTGTCCACTCTTCATTCTCAGGCTTTTGGCTGAATAATTCAGCTCCACAGCAGCAGAGTCCTGTAGAGATGAATATGAAATATTAAAGGCTGAAGATTAGAGAACCGAAGATTATGGGAACTAAACAGTGTCAGTGTGAATGAGAGAACATGTAGTACCTGACTGGGTTTGTTCTCCACCACCGATTCACGATTTCTCACTATCAACATGTTTCTGATGTATATAACAGATGAAACTACACTCACCCCTGCAGTTTTGAATGGCTTGAGCGCAGATCACAATCACAGCGATCCCTAAAGCTGCTCCCAGATATACCACAGTGGGATTCACAGGACGCAACACTGACCCAAACACTGACTGATACATGTTATTGCATCACCATGACATTAATAACATTTATGTATTAAAATGACATTAAAGGAACAGTAATGAAAGTGGTCAGAGCTTTAGTTCAATCTATAAATGATGCTGAAATAAAAATGTAGATGCTATTTCTTGTGTTGTACACCAAAATGCTGTCCACTGTAACTCCAATGATGTCCAATTTATGATGACATCCGAATTAACGAATTCAGCGCGCATGGCTCTAGAATACTGTCAAATATGGAATAAATTTAGAGTTTATGATTTACCATTATTGCATTATTGCTCAATGGCCAACAGCTTCAAAGCACTTAAAGTATACAGGTACACAACACAAAACAGCCAAACAGGCGTACCCAATTGTACTGATTCTCTGTTGGCAACAATGATCTTCCCACAAGCAGCCACAGTAGTAAGTTCCAGTATGGTGGTGGTCGAGGATGTTCTTGGAGAAGTTGTACAAAGAGCAGCTTGTAGACGAGCTGATCTCACACTGACGGCTGTTCTGATGAATGTAAATGACTTGAGGAAGGGATTGTCCTGCAGCAGCTCTGAACCAGAGCACTCGGAGTTCTGCTGCTCTGATCTCGTGCACTGCAGAGTCACCGACTCAGTTTCCTGGAGAAACTGACCCCGTACTGGTGTTTGAAGCACTGATATGTTAAACTGAGGTTGACCTGGTCAATACAAGTAGACATTATAAGAATTTAGTGAATATTGTTTTTTCAGTCACACATTAGGCTGTAAACTATTAAAGACTAACATTGTTTTCAAAATGCAGCAATATTGTAGCACTATAAATGGGGTATTGGGTTAATCAGTTGGCTTTTTATGGCTCCATAATATATTATCATACACATAAGCACAATGTAAACACTGGAAATACAATAGTGTCAATTTAATTGACTTGACATCTTATGAAAAATTGAGTGTGATAAACTATATAAGCATTTCATGAGTTTTCTATTGTTGTGAATGTATAAAGTTCTATATGAGTGTATATGCATATAAATATATATGTATATATATATATATACAAAACAGTAATTTTTATTACCTCTCACTGATAAGAATGTGCCACTAGAAAATGTAATAATGTTCCTGTCTCCTTTTCCACAGAAGTACATTCCTTCATCAGCTTTAGTAGTTTGTGCAATAGTCTGAGAAAAACGCTGGACTATTTTGAATCTGTGTGATGAAGTAGTCGATTTAATTAGTAATCTTTTCACTTATGTTTGGCCACAAGAAGTTCGTTGGCCTCTTATAAAAAAGCCTCTTAAAGCTCCAGCAGAAAGTTACTACATGAAATGGTAACAAATATGTATGTTGCATGATGAATAAAAAAAAGTGTTTCAGAAAAGTTTTTAAATGTTTTGGCCTGAAATGTATCTTTTTAAATACTTTCATGGTGAAGTTGTACACACCGGGATCTAAAATATCTTTATAATACATAATCATATATTATCAAATATATAAGATAATGTGTTATTCCATTATTAGTTTTAAAAATAAATGAGTTTAAAATACTTTCTCTACTGAACATGAAGGCAGTGAAGTGCTGCCACTCTCCTGTGTTGATGTAAGAACACTTTCTGTTGATTCTGTACATTCTGTAGTTTGTCTATACTCATTGCATTACAATAATCCAAACAAGAGAAAACAAACACATTAATGTTTTAAATTTACAATCATGACATTAAATTTACATAAACATCACTGAATGCCAGAAAGTTACACAAAATTAGCTTATGATATAATGGTTTCAACAAGAAATACATGTTCATTTAATGTTTGACAGAAAAACAAAGAAATGTCTAGAAAACACTGACAATTTTTATGAATACTGTTAACTCAGTATGACTTATTTTCTTCATTTTTCAGCAATATTGTGTTTCTGGATTGCTCTGCATTCAGAAACAGGGAAGAAGAAGAATCTCATTTGGGGGAAAACGTTCTGCTTCTCACTCACTAACTCACTCGTTCACTCACTCACTCACTCACTCACTCACTCACTCATTCACTCACACACTCGCAGGAATACTTTGTTTACAAACACAATTATCAATTATTTAAATAGTAACAAAATATTCTAGGTAATAGATCAGTTTCATTGGGTCTTTCACTGTAGTTAATGTGTTAATAATGTGTTAAAACAATACATTTTAACACGACTAATTTTCTTAAAGCTGTCAACACATTTGACTCTTTAAAGCATCTGTAGTTCCAGCTTAAACAAGAGAAAGAGAAAGAAAGAAAGAGAGAGAGAGAGAGTGACAGAGAGAGAGAGAGAGAGAGAGAGAGAGATAGAGAGAGAGAGTTACCCCTGTGCTCCAAGCTGTTTAGGCGTGCTCCTAGTTGTAGTTGCTGTCGCAGACATAAAAGCTTTCTGTTCTTTCTGCTCGTGCAGTTTTGGTGTATGTCTGCGATAGCTTTGTCTGTGTGTTTGTTCGGTTCACTTTAGCTTGTGTTTTCGTGCCTCGCACTGTTAATCACGCTAGCCTTGCTGTTAATGGTTGTATATGCTCTCTCTCTCTCTCCCTTTCTCTCTCTCATACGCTGCTTTGCTTTCTTGGGGTTCTGGACAGGTTAGATGGGCGCGATCATACATTTTATATCACGTAGCTGCCCATTGTATAGACACCTTAGGAAAGGGGCGGGCGCCAACTCATGTATTTGTGTTCTGCCGTAGGGAAGCCTAGAGTAGATAGTTTTGTCTACTAGGTGTGGATTTCAATTAAAGAGCTAGGGTAGTTTTTTGTTGTTTTGTTTGTTTTGTTAATTTCTTTCCTTTAGCGCCGTCCGGGTCCAGAATCCCGCTCTTTTTGACAGCAAGCATATTTGCCATTTTTTTTTCCTGTAAATATTACTGGAGGTCTCACTCGGGTCATAGCCTGAGTGTGCTTTGTCCTCTACCCCTGGCGTGTAATAAACAAGAAAAGCAGCTATCCTATTTGTGTCTTGCTCCTTCCTGGTTCGTGCTGCAACCGTCACATTTAAACCATATGTTACTGACCCCATTATCCCCTAGGCTTTCTTGTGGGGTCGTAACACTCATCAAGCATTATCAAGGCAGTAGTTGGTAATTAACTGACTGCTAATTACT